CTCCGCACTAAAAGCTAAGAGAGGGAGGAGATGACATTTGTTACAAGGATGTTTGTTTTCTAGAGCAGCCACTAATGAAGACCTACATCCTAGCAAGTGGCTGGACCGCACCACTGTACTGAGAAGAAATCTTTTGTTTTCTTTTTTTTCCACATGCAGCCTGTCGCTTTGCTTTAGTAAACCACTTTTCTATTATCTTGACCCACAAGTTTTTACAATGATAAAAAATGTAATTCTCTGAGAATTAAATACTTCAATTTTAAAGTAAAGCAAAACATTCTCTGCTTTTCCGCAGTCTTTTCCACATCACTCTAGCCAGTAACTTCACTGTCTCTGAGCAGTAATCATTTACCTGAAAAATACCCTATAATATTTGTCTTGTGGAGGCTGGTTGTACACATGCTGACTTTGAAGCATGATGTATAACTGCAAGTGGCATGAAAAGAAATTGATGAGACAATTAGAACTTGTGAGAATGGTGGCTGCATTAATTTTTCGGGGAGAATCACTTATAAAGTATTTCAAATTCCACAGAAACCTCAAAATTTATTTGGCATCTGAAGTAGCTCCCTGAGTTGTTATTGCACAAAGCACAAAATAAACATACATAAAATCCTGACCCAGACTTCAGCCACAGACAAATCTCCCTTTGGCTTCATGGGGCCAGGGTTCCAGCTGGCTTCTGCCCTGGGGATTACACAGACACACAAATCCTGAGTATCTAGTAGGATGTGTTATGATGAGATGTAGGTGCTTGGGTAGAAAATAGGCATACTCAGATTCTCCTCAGCTACTGACAGTGGTCAAACTCTGATGGTGTTTAAAACTGCTTGATGTCAAAATTTCTAATATTGCTGTTTACCTGGCCTTGGAGTTGCTTTCCTGCGGTCCTCAGAATCATCTCTACTTTGATGGATTAATTCCAAAACAAATCAGAAATATGCCAAATGTGCACATTAACTGAAAGGACGATAGGAAGGGAAGGAGTTAGGATAATATCTCTGCTTTATTGCAGTCATTGGAATCTGGATGCTGAAGATATTTAGTCAGCTGCTTTCCAGCCTAAATGCCAGGGGGTGGTGGGGGACACCTGAGTCGGTGGGATATTCCATGGATGAGTGTGTGCCCCAATGCTGCACAGCATGGACCTGGTTCTTTGTGTGGTGCCTTTCCAGCCCCTGAGATTCCATGTGAAGTGGAGCAGTTTTGGCCTCAATATGAAGTGTGTGTATGCATTCCATAGCTCTTATGGCATTTCTTTCCATTCCAAAGCATATAATTCTTGAACAACTGCCCATCCTTTATATGGCCTCTGTTTTATCATCTATTAGTCTTTTTCCTGTAAAGCAATAAAATCCTTTGCACAGCAGGAGATTTTTATGTCCAGTGTGTGCCTGAGCAGCAAGTAAAGCTGGGAGAGAAGAGGACAGCTCAGTTAGCCTTGGTAATCAACTGCACCTTGGAATCTGGAAAATTCATTTGCACGCATATTTGCTCAGAGTGTTTTTGCTTTACAACCATTACACTGGTTAGCATTTGAGCTTTCTGATTAGAAATATTCTTGCTTTTGCACACAGAAGTGTTTGGCTTTATTATTTCTAGCAGGTGTTACTGATGCACTTAGAATTCTATTGGTCTGAGGTCCCTCCTTTGCATATATTTACTTATGACCTGTCCAGTGGTCCAGATCATCTCAGGTATAAGCACTTCAATACCTTCCTTTTTAGAGATGTGTCTTTCAGAAGCCTCTCTTGCCTTTGTCTTTTGACATTTTTTTTTGTACTAATACAAATATCTTAAACATCTTTTCTTTTGGCAGAATACTTAAACCTCAACAGCTAACAGGTGTCATTCGGCAAATCACAGCTAACATGCTACCTGTAGCAGAATTGGGCTCATGTCAGATGCATTGCACCTACGAGTTTCTCACCCCAAAAATTCTTGTTGTTATTTTTTATCTTTTCTGGCATTAAAATTTGTATTCAGCATTAGTATTTTGATACTGCGGGAACATCTGATAACATGAGTCATGAACCAGCCCTCATTGTTGTATTGTTAGCTGTTTTGCTTATCTCTTTCTTTCTCCTCTAGAGAGCAAGTATAACTGTGAGGAGAGGTCATATCATTTTTGTTCCATACCTTAAGAGCTTTTGTAATATGAAGGCTTAGATCTAGAATTATAATTGTGTGGGATGTTGTATGCACAAGCAGAATGACAGCGCTTGCCAGGTAGCTTACAATGATGTAGTAAGAATTTTGCTATTTTTTAAACTGAATGTGGACATGAAAGATGCACCTATCTCTGAAAGATAAGTACAATTAGATTGACAACTTGTATGTCAGGCTTCTTGTTGGTGTCATTTAAAATTGCTGAAACGCAGAGTTGCCACTCCCTCCCTTCTTCCATTCCCTGAAATGAGGCTTATACTGGAAATGCTGACAAGACCCTTATCATTTGAGATGGCACCATGCACAGCTTTAAATACTGGTTATAAATGTTAATGCGTTATCTGAATGATATTTTTTCCACATGTAGGCAGCTCAGGATAGAGTCTCAGTAATAAATTTAACGAGTTCAGGGGGAAGACGCAGTATGCTTATGTGAGTATTATAATGATTGGCATTTTTGCAAACAGCATATGATAAGTGGTGCAATTTTATTTTCAAAGTTTAATCAATAGAGAGCTCTTTGATATTGCCATGTACTTTGCAAATAGATGCTTACTTGGGGTGACAGCAAAACAACTTCTGTTTCATGGTGTGTTTACGCTTAGGGTTTAATCAGTCTGCTTTAGTGATTGTCATAAATTTTGATATTCCAAAAATTAAATAGGGGCTATAAAATAATTATGCTTCATGGTGATCCTCTTGCTGCTAACTTGGGTTATCTGGCTTCTCAAATGTTGAAAAGGGCTCCAAGTCCATCACTGTGCCAATTACAAGAGCATGGGCTGTGTACCAGTTTATTCTCATTTATTGTAAACTCACACCAGCTGTTGTAGAGGAAATTGAGGTGGATCTTCAAGAGCTTAAGAAGGACTTTATGAATGTCTTGTGTTAGCTTTGGGAATGAATTTCCTGTCAGATAAGAGGAAGCAGAAATGACCCTGCATTACACTGCAGCCTCCCCTGTAATTTTGATGCACATGGGCTGCAGAAGGGGCTGAAGTTCCTTCAGTGTGAGCACAATAGTCCAAATCCCCCAGAGAGCCTCCTTCAGTGAGCCCCAGGGAGGCTGGGAGGAGCAGAGCATCCCTGGCCTTTCTCTGGGACATTTCAAACCAGCACAGAGGATTTGGGGGGATTCCCACTGCTCTGGGTGAGCTTTGTTCTTGCTGAGCAGAGCCCGATGGGCTGTGTCTCTTTAGTTCTTGGAAACAACAGCAGCTCTGGAAAGCTGGAGTTGGAAGATCATTTCACAGCCATTTGAAGGCTGACCGTGTCCACATGGAGCTGTGGTGGCAGCCCAGCTTGTCCTCCCTGTTGCAGCAGAAATTCCTGCTGGCCCCACAGGAGCAGTCCCAGGGAAGAATGCCTGGAACAGTGTTAATGCTTGATTGGATGTGGCAGCAGAAGGACACACACCATGAACTCAGAGATAACCTTTGGCAGGGGATTTCTCTGTCACTCTCATCCTCTCTGATAAAAATACAGTAAGTAGTAGGCATTGGGAAGAGAGGAAGCTGGAGCTTTCAGGTGATTTAAGCTGAATGCAGCAGAGTGCCATGAGCACTGAGGCAGAACCTCCAGAGAGGGCAGTGGGAGATGTGTGCCAGGCACCACTGCAGGGAATGACCCTGTGGGATCCCGATCTCAGCACAGAAATTCCTCCAGAGCCATGAGGGGTTTTGGCAGGCTGACAGCAGTGTAAGATCAGGGTGTATGTGTGCTGTGCATACCTGATGAGTTGTTGTAGCTGCCTGTGAAAAAAAATTGGTCTTTGAATATTTCTTTTTAACACTTTTTACTTGCAGCAAGAAGACACTATTTCAACATCAAGATACAGCAGCTTCAGCTGGAGTTCCACTACTGTTCATACAAAGATTCAAGAGAATATCCTAGAGAAAGCAAAGTGATTTTACTTCTTTTTATACATTTTTTTTTGTGATATATATATATATATATATATATCTGTGTTAGCTCTGTATGAGCAAATATATACATGTAAGTATGTACATCTGTTTGTTTAAATAACAGGTGTTGTGCTTTGCTGTCCCCTAACCAACACCAATTGCTGTGCTGCCTTTGTGAATATGCTGCCCTGGCTGATTCTTTTGCATTCTTTGTGCTATCCTTGCTTATGCTGAATAGCATCTGACACTTTAATTGGGATGGCTGAGCTCAGTGCATTTGTCTTTGGAATTGGACACTTTTCAGTGCAAAGAGAGGGTACCATAGGCTGACTCTTCTGCCTTTATCCTCAATCAAAACTCCATTAAATCGGACCTATAGTTTGTGGCATTCTCCCTGGGACATTCTCCCTTGCATTGAAATCCATGGGAAAGGCTGGAGACTTCGTTTTTAAGGTTAATTAGGTCCCGAAAAGGATTAACTGGATTTATTTTATGTATATTTTTTTATCCTATTTTTAAAAAGCTTTTAAATTACCTTCATCTTTGTTGGCATATTCAGATACACTTTTCCCTTTACAGGAAAAATTTTATGTACTTTTGAGTTTATTAAAGCCATTTTGATAGACAGACTCTAATTCTAATTTTAAACAAGAATGAGCATAGTGCTTGACATTGTGTTAAAATTTAGGCATATAAAATATATTACTATATATTAATGTGAGTTGTACAGTTAATCTTTATTTTTGTTTGAACGACTGCTAACATTATTCACTGTTTAAGCACTAAATGAGAATTTGATTTTCAGTTGGCTACACTGTGTTTGGAGAGTAAAGGAAAAAATAGTTTAGGGCATAATCATTTAAAAATTTTTTGGTGGAAGTGGCAATTTCAGAAGCCAATTTTTTTTTTTTTTAATTTTATTTTCAGGTTTCCATAATGAATCTGCTGTGGACCCTACTGCTGATCCAGAAAGGTAAATTCTCTCCTTTGGCTTTTGGCTACAGGAAAACATTTCTGTATAGATATGATAACAATAGTTAAGTGACCTGCCTGTGGGCCAGCAAAAAAATCCCCTCTGTGCCCCTAAAGAGGTCCCTAAAACCTGCCTAACACTGCCAGCAGAAACAGTCTCCTTGTAGAAGAGCATGCAAGGTTTGAGGCTGGAGTCAGTCTCATAACTTTCTTCTTTTTGTTACTGAAAATAGAGCTATTTATCATGCTTACCCTTCAATGTCAATATACATGAAGAATAGAATGTGTTGTAGGAGGGAGGAGGGAGATATCATCTTGTTCTTTTACTCAATTTTAGATGAATTGATTTTGCAGGGGAGTAAATTTGTATTTGTAGTCCTCCTCCCCATTCCAGGTTTCCTTGTGTTGCGTTCACTTCCAGCCCTTTCTCCCACATCTCTTCAGAAATAACTGAGTTTTCAGTTATTTTTAGTAGAATTCAATTCTCTTAACCCTTAGCAATAATCCAGGCAGGAGGGGTTTTGAGCAAGTGCAAGAAAGGCCCTACAATGTCAGCATAATAACATGGCTCTTCTCATTCTAATGGCATTCCTTGCTCCTTGTTAGATTAAAGAAGTTTTCTGTGACTTTTTTACTGTTGCTGTACAACACACTTCAGTCACGAAATGGCAATGTTCTCCATGGACTGCAGGATTTTCTTCTTGATTCTTTTCTTCTTATGATCCCTTTCTTCTCATCTTAGCTCTGGCTCTTGGTTTTGTATCTGTTGTACTGAATGTAAAATGCTTGGAAAGAGCAAGAATGAACAGAGACTGAACAAGGTAGACTTCTGATCAATCATGTCACACCAAAAATATTAATAAAAATAGCAGTCAGACTGGAAGAAGCACAGAGGAGGGACTGCTGCAGGAATGCTGAAGAAAAGTGGGGTAAACTCCAGTTTTAGAGCGTGGTTTGAAGATCCCACTCTTCTGTCATGTCTGATACCCACAAACTCTCTTGTTACAGACCCTCAAAGCCACAGTGTGGTGATTCCCAATGGGGAAAAGGCAGGCAAGCAGAAGCTGCTGTTAGAACACAGGTCCTTGCATTTTTCTTTCAGTGCTCTGTTTACATGAGCACCCACTGGGTTCAGCCCTAATGACCCGCTGGAGGTGCTGAGTCAATGAAGCCACACAGTCAGTCAAGCTTAGCTTCAGAAATTATTGGGACCATTACTAGATCTTGTAGCTTTCCTTGTCCATCCAGCTGTGTTTCACTCCTGTGAAATACACTGAGGCATTTCATACTTGCTGTCACCTTAGAGTTCTTCAATACAGCTTCATTTGATGCTGTTTCAGGCATCCAAGCACATCTGGATAGTCACTGATTTCAGCCAGCCTTCAGAACATCTTCAAATCCTGCCATTCCTGCTCTCATAGCTTTGGGGTGCTGCAGGAGTCAGTTGACACAAACAGACACAAACAGATTAACTGGAGGTGCAAAGCACTGAGGTATGATTGTTCACATATAGTGAATTTTAATGGCAGCTGAGTCATGGATTGCCCCTGTGCCTTTGAAATTGTTGACGAAACAAAGTGGTGGGTTTATTTGACATTCAATGCAGAACTAAATTTGGTATTTATGCTCAGGAACCTTGACAATGGCTCAGAAGCCCCTTCCCTCTGAGCAGGGGAAAACACAGAATAAGGTGCTCATTGCTCCAAGTGTAACTATTGAGTGAAAGTTTCCTTGATGACATTGGCAGCATAACACAAGGGCACAAATCCAACCTCTTTTGAAAGATAATTTGTTTTTGCCGGTATTGGAAAACAAGCTGGTTATTTGTTATTTTGATTCCATACAAGGGAGTGTCTGATAAGGAGCTGCTTTTATGCTAAGAAAGTCAAGGTGTTTAATGTGATTGCTTAGAGTCAGAAGAAAGCTGTATTAACAGACTTAGCAAGTTATGGACCTAAAGCCATCCTTTTCTGGCACCTCCCAAAAACAGATTTTACCTTGCTAACTGGCAAAATGCCACCTGAGCAGGCCAGCTGTGGCTGGGTTCATCTCATGTGTTTGTTGAGGTCAAATCTCCTGGAAGGCAGTGGAACAGAGGTGCTGTGTCCTGAGTTTCTGAGACTTCATCTGCTAATTGGATAGACTGCCTCTGCCTTAGTGCTGATCAGAGTTAATGCCCAAGATCAAAAGATAGCTCAATGAAGATAAATTTGCACCATGAGAGAATTTGTCATATATTTAAGTTACTGAAATACAGAACAAGCAGAACACTGGTATTATGTAGGTGTGTGCAAGAGTATTGTGATGAAAGATCCTGAGGCACTCATGGACTCTGAACAGTTGGACATAGGGTTTAAAGAAAATTAAGTGTCCTAATTTGAGTTTGAAGTTATAAGCTCTTCCCAATATATTGAAGTTCCTCCCTGAAATTCTCTAGAAATCATCCCACATCCCTAGAACATAGCATAGGACTTTCTGATTGCTGTGGAATCTTTCCACCACATAAGATATTGTAAAACTGTTTATAAACTGAGACAAGATGGGTTCTGCAGGCCACATTCTGTGATACAGGGAATTCTGACTGAACAAAATCAGAGGAACTCCTGCTACACAGGTGTAGGAATGGGGAAGCACAAGCTTTGGGATACTATTCCTCTTTTTACAGTAGTCAGCAAAGTTTTTCCAAACCGCTATATCACTTTGGGATATATGGAAGGTGAAGGCTTTTGAAATAGAGTGAAATCTAACCTGGAATCATAGAGGAGCTTTATTTATGTAAACACAACTTCCTACACCAACAATCTCCTCTTTGCCCACATGAAAAGAAATGTTTTCTTTAAATTTGCAGCTAATACACCCTGTTTGCATCTGTTACATTTTCAGGGCATCAAAGAGTGATCAGCAGGCTTAGGCTGGAGGGAACTGAAACTTTCCTTTTGCCGCAGAACATTCAGGTGGGGTGTAAGACAACGAGAAAATATGGAAACTGCTGAGGAGGTCTGTACAGGGAGTGCTCACCATCCTCTGAAGGGCACAGGAGTGGTTATTCAGGGGATGAGAGCCCCTGTTTAAGGCAGCTAGAGCCAAGCTAGGGTCCAGCAGCAGCATATTGTGGAGGGTGTGTGTGTTCTGCTGCTTCATTAACAGCACTCGGTGTGCCTCCACTGCTCTGACCTTTGCTATCCTGTGAGCATGAGGATGCTTTCAGTTTTTTGCCTCATCTACTTCTTCCTGATCAGGTGGCCTGTAGCAGACACTGACCACAGTGTCACCCACCATGGGCTGCCCTCTGCTCCTGGCTGCCAGCTGTCAGCTGGCTCATCACCTGCCCCAAGGCACAGACAAGCTCCGTGTGCCCCAGCTGCTCTCTCACATCAGGGGATCTCTTCAGCTTTAATGTCCTGTCCTGTGCTTCCTAAAGATCCATCCCTGGCAGCCCTCCATGACAGCTGACCACTCCCCTTCCTTTCTTACACAACTTTGCTGTGATGCCAGCGAGATCACAGCCCATCCCAGAACCTTTGTGGCTGCTGTTTGTCCCCTGTAGTGTACAGGGAATTACTGGGGATCATTGTGAACCACGATGAACCAGCACCAGGCTTGGCACCCTGCCCAGACACACCTGTCCAGGAGCAGGGCAGGTACAACAGAGGCCAACCAGCCCCAGAAGGACTTCTTGACTTGCACAGCTCCACTGAAGCACTGACATCGAGGGGCAGACACTTTCCCAGTGGCTCAAACACCTGCCCCAGCTCTCGGGCAGGTGTGTGAGCCCCACTGCCTGTTGGTGTGGTGTTTCCAGGTGTACCAAGAGCCCAGGATTTAGCAAAACCATGACCTGATCCCTCAGTGCAGCACTCGTTAGCAGCAGGCTCAGCCCTTGGCTCTGCCTGGCGCATACTAACGACTTGTTTTGATCCTTCCAGGCCATGGGAATTGTCCTCACACGCTGCGTCCTCAGCCACTCCTCCCGTGGGCTGCCCCAGGGCACCTCGGAGGTTTTGGTGGGTTACAGGTGATCCCATGTACAACAGGAAAAAAAGGAAACTGTCACTTGTTCCGAAGACTGTGCACAGGATTTATGATAAGTAAGATTTTGCTGTTTTTTCCTCTTGGTGTGCAGGCCCTTTTTCATAAGTTCTCTGCTGCCTCGAGTTGAGACAGGATGCCCTTTATGCTGGCAATATGATGCCATGGAGCTGGCAGCCTTCCTTTTTCACAGCCCCACACTAAATGCAGGGCAAGCAGGCCGGGGAAAATAAATCTGAAATGGGAGAAGGTTGTGTTGTTCTAGCTTCCCGTCCCCTCTTTCCTGCCTGCTCTTTTCCTCAGGTCTTTCGCCCCACTATAAATGCAGGTAAAAGCCTCCAGTCACAACGAGCAAAATGAAGAGAGCCACGGGCTCCGGCAGTGCGTATCTACTCTAATTTCTCTTTTCTTTCTTCTAGTAATCCAGACAAGACTTGCATGTTTTCTGCTCCATTCTTTGGGTCAAGAACACACTGGTTAATAGCCAATTATTTCATGCCCTAAGGAAATTTTGGCAAAGAAGTTCCTGGGAAGAGTCAACTTGTTTTGGGAAATGAGACTAATATTCAGTAAGTGAGATATTTCCCTTTGCTCTCTTTTGCAATACTGTCCCATCTCAGCACAAGGCTGAATTTATTGCTGTAATAGCTGCAATTCAGACAAAGCATAATCATTTCCCAGAGTTGGTTTTTGGGTTTTTTTCTTGTTTTTCACAAAAAGTGAAGTTTTAGCCCAGTCACTATGGCAAAAATTTCAGTTAGGTAATAAAATTCTGCTTATTAAAAATTTCCCTTTTAAAATCTGTCCCAAACTAATGGTTGCTTTTCCTTTGAGCACTTTTAAAGGGATAATTCACTTTAAATTCACAGCTTTCCAAATTCTGAAGCCGTCTGAAATTTTCCTGGACTGCCTAAACCAGAATGTGCAGTTCCAGCTAAGATATCTAAAGGTACATTTTTGCTTGTTTAATTGTTGTTGTTTGTATTCTTGTGTCTGTATGAGACACAACTCATGTAGACTCAACTGATGACTAGCAGAATTAAACAAAATTATTTGCATAGGAAAAACAAGCCTTATTTAAAATTGTTTTTTAGTAGGAGTAGCATTGAGTATTAATAAATTCAATTTGTGTATCAAGGGCTGTTTTACATGTACAAAAATCCAATAGTGAAAAAATAGGCCGAAAGATAATCTGAGGCGAACAGTCTGGAGCAGCAACCCAGAACAGATGATCCACTGTATAAATTACTGCAATTTATTTTTTTAATTTACTTGTGCTACTTTATTATTGTTTATTCATTTGATAGATGGCATTTAATTTCAGTTGGAGAGCTTCAGGATGAGTGTTTGATGCTAATGGTTGGAATTTACTCCTGGGCAGCAAGCCAACGTGCCACAGCCATGTTCCAGTGGTGCCCTCCAAGCTGTGTTTAAGTGGCCTTCTGTTGCCCTTGGGGTATGTTTTACACAGGAAGCTAAAAGCCTAATGCAGGCCTGCAGCTCACTTGCTGGAGCAAGAGAAAGATGGTTTTCCCTCTCTCCTGGTCTCTGCAGCAAGAAAATCAAATTATTGGATTACTGGCCCTTCGATTGCGCTCAGCGCAAATAGTTCAAAATCCCATTGTACTGGAGACCTTTGAGATGAAATGTAAATGGATAAAGAAAACAAATGTATTAAATTGGTCTAATATGTCAATAGTGTGCTATTACCTGATTAAGTGGAATGGCTAGGACTGTTCTTCTAAACAGCCTGATGGAGGTAAGGCATCTGCTGCTAGACTGGCCACACAAAAAAAACCCCAACAAACCAATAAACCAAAAAAGGCATCCACAGGAGCCTACGAGAGGCATAAATTAATGCAGATTCTCTTTCCTTGCTTATTTTTATTTCTGGAAAAGAAAATCAAAGCAAGCAGATCGATCTTGTGCAGGGTTAAAATTGCAATTACATAGGGATCTATGCAGCACATGAAATATTTGGGCTGATAGATCAGAACCTGACTGCTTTGTTCTACATATATCTCTGTATGCGTTAGCTTGAACTTGGAATTTCCTGCTTTCTGCCCTTTTTTTTTTACTTGCACATGTATTTTATATATTTTTTAGGGCTAATTCCTTTTTGTTATCATGTATTTTTAAGACATAATATCAGCTAAGATTGGGAGAAGCATCTAATGGATTTTAAACTCCCTTATTGCTGTAATTTTTGTGCATATTCACACATAATATCACGATTCGAATGTCACTCCATTGTGCAGAATAAATAGGTCCACAGGAAAGTATAAGTGAGGTAAATTATTGTACTTTTCAAAGTGGAGAAAACTTCTTTAACAACCAAGGATTCAATTATTTCATTTTATATTAGGCTGGTTGGTTTCTCTACAAGTTTCTTGTTAAAATTATCTTACTGTCCTTTTGTATTTATGTGTCCACAGAGCAATAAATAGCTATTGAAACACAGTTGTTACTGTCAGTGTCACTGTCACTGTGTTTGAATTCCTTTCACTCCACAGTTTTGATGAAATCTGGGTAGCTCTTGTGTGCAAGTGCCAAATATGTGAGCACGTATTCTAATGGCTTGGGTTTCAAATAGAGCCTCCAAAACTGACTAATAAAATGCACATTAAACTAGAGGCTGAGATATATTTTTGTAGCTTGCTGAGATTCTAGCACGTACTGGTATTCATAAGATAATAAATGTGAAATGGGTTTGATGCTTATCCACCTGAACATTTCTGAGTTAAAAAAAATAAAAGAGATTGATAGACAACGCTTTCTCTCTTTTACAACTAATAAGCTTCTAGTTCATTAAGTTATTACATGCCATTCCTTGTCTGACAAATAGAATCCATAATTCAGTTTTTCCCAGAGTTGCACATTCTTTAAGTCTACAGACCAAATCACCAGAGCACATTTTGTCAATAAAGCTTCTGTTTGGTGGGGGAAGGAGGGGGCAGTTAAGTAAAGTAATATGAAATGCAATCCGTTCTTGGTGTCAGAGGTCATTTATTTGCTTCAATATTGCTTTTATTCTTTTTATACATTCACTAAATGATGATAGTTACGGAAAGTCCGTGGTTATTCACTGCATTATATTTAAAATGAGCAACATTTTGTTTCAGGCTCTTACACTTGGGAATCTTTAGCATTATCTTGAGAAGTAAACTGTGCTTTTGCAAGGAATCCTTGACAATGTATTAGTTCAGCTCTGCATTTACTGAGGGATAAAGGCTTTCTTCTGTGAGCAGTGGGAAAGCCACAGAGGCAAACAAAAAACCAGCCATGTTCTGCAGCCCTGAACCAAAAGACTTGTCACTTCTTGAGCCAGAAGTGCCCAGCACAGTTGCAGGCAGCCAGTGACACCTTCAGCATGGAAAGTTATATGGGAATAATTTGTGTCCTAGACCAAGGTTCCAGCACTGCTCTTCTCACCAGGGCTTGAAGAGGAATTGCTGTGCCCTGTGTTGAGTATAATATATGGTATCTATTTGTAAAAAATACAGCCTGGTGATAAAATGCTTGCCTAGGGAGTGGGAGAGAGTGGTCCAGGCTCATCGCAGCTTGCAGTGATTTAAACCCATTTTGCTGTCCAGAGAAACAGGCAATCATGACAGGGGGAGAAAAAAGCAGTGTGCCCTGCCCTCCAGCCGTGGCATTTGGGTGGATGCTCTGCCAAGGGTCCCCAAGGTTGCAGCTGATGAGAGCAGTGAGACAGCACTCCCGAAGGAGGGGTGAGGCTGAGAGCTGGCAGGGGCAGCAGGGCACAGCGGCTGCCCTGCAGCCCTTTCAGTCCTGTTTTGGGGTGGGCTGGGGTAACCATTGCATTACCTTCCCTGGGGAGGTGTTGCTTTAGCCCTGGGGAGGCTCAGAACTTCTTCCTTTGTCTGCCCTATTCTGATTAAAGCCTGCCTTTTTCCTTGCAGTGGAAATTAGGAGCAGTGAGCAGTTGCCATTTTCAGCAGACGGACAAGCAGCCATTCCCTGGCCCAAAGTGTCCCAGGGGTATATGGTTCAATTTCTGCAGGCATCCAGGAATTAGTGTCACCTCTACACGTGAATGAAAGTCAGGGTTTGTCTGAGTAAGGAAGGGAATGAAGGAGGGTGGCATTAAGCAGGAATATTCAAGCCTGCACACTGCTGGGAGGAGGTGTAGAGTAACATTTCAACCAGTCCAGGTCTGTCCAAAATGCTCTGACACTGTACTATTGTACTTTAATATGGGATAATACTTCTCATTATATTTTTAGTTAACAAATACACAGGTGATTGTTGCAACTGAAGGATAATGGTGTCCTTGGAAAGCACTATTTTAAAATGGAATGTTGTAACATGGTACTAAGACAACAGCCTAATGGGGTTACTGCTCATCACAATTACTGACTGTGAATTATAAATGAGAGAACAATGGGAAACATTATTTCAATAGAAAATGAAATAAATGAAGAGAAGCCAAAGTATCTAATTGATCCTTTCTCCAGAGATCGCTCAGAGCTGCTCTGATGCTGAAAAATCCACCTTTGAAGAAGATGCAGTTCCTGTGTGTCCAGTCTCTGCAGTGGTCCCTGACAGCAGAGCAGAGCAGGCACCTCTAGACCCACACTGGTGCTCACTCTTGGGCTTGAAACCCTGCTCAGGATATAGCCTGACTTCCCAAAATGGGAATTATTCTGCTGAGGATGTATTAGTGCCCTGAGCTAACCTCTGTAAGGAAGGCTCACTAGATCGTCATGGAAATGAGTGAGTCAACAATGCTTTTGCCTTGTCAAAGCATTTATAACATCTGATTTTTCTAGATACCTAGGTAATGAAATATTCAGTATTCTGATGGAGTTTCCTAACCCACTGTCACTCTTGTCTGTGACTGTAGCCTGTGTAATTTAATTAGCCATTTATTGTTTTTGTACATAATATATAAAAAATAGCAATGAGCTGAAAACACTGAAAATATTCACAAGAACCAGAAAAGCAGACTGGTAGCTGTGGATCTTCTGTAACTGCTGATATCTCCTGAGAGGCCCTTACACTGAATTTATCCAGGACTTTTGCTTTATGTTTAAATAAATAAATAAATCTATTATCTTTAAGCTTTTTGCTTTTTTATCAGGGAAAACTTTAATGAGAAAGTTTAGCTCATCAGTGTTAAGTTTTCTACTAATTAGGTGAAAGTGATTTTTCTTCTGCATGCAGTTTCTGTTATCTGGCACTCCTGAGCTAGTGAGTAGCATCCACAAATAGTCCTGCCCTGCTTTAGTATTTTCAAAAAACAAAAGAGAAGGTCTAAGAAGTTTTTGACTACTGTAGCATTTACATTCTATGGAAACAAGTAAAATGACATTTAAGAGCTGCATGTTGTTTCTGTAATTCCAGAACTGGGATAGATATGCTAAGCCTTTCTGCTTTAGTGTACAATCTTTCAGTAACAAGACAATTTATGATAAAAAATAATATATTTGACAGCATAAATGAGTGATCTGGTCACATCCACCAACTTAAGCATGTGGTTTTGGTCATTGTTATGAAAAACCAAACCAAATTTTCATTCCTTGCCAAACCAACACTCATTCCTGGCCCAGTGGCTATTTTTTCATGCTGGTTGTTTTTTATTTTACAGGCCTATAAAGTGCTGCTATGGAAGTCACTTTTTTCCCTACTGAGTGAATAAATTACAAGTCCTGGAGCAGTGCTCAGTGTGCTGTAATTCTTGGCTATAACATCTATGAGATATGTTTAAACTGAATGATCCACTGCTCAGAGGAGTGACGGCTTCTTTTATGGCCCTCTTGTTCTTGCAGACAGTAAACCATTGAAATAGACCATGAAGACAAGGGCAAGTTCACCATATTCTCATCTTTCCTGGAGTTGCATGTACTTTTGTCTGCGCTGTGGGACGCCTCACACCTCACACATTCAGGACTAGCTAAGTCTTGGCATTAATAGTGTTTTGTGGGGTTTTTTTCCTCCAGTCTATATTTTGAATTATGAAACTTTGATAATTTCTAGAAAAGGTTATATTTCTTTCTAAAGCAGATACAAGCTTCAAACTCGTATGTAACCTGTATGTATAAAACCACCGTGAAAGATGTTATTGTTCCTTCCAGTAGTTTTTTCTCCATCTGCACATAAAATGTTTTTCCACTGTCAGGCAGACTCTTATGTTCTTATCTCTTATGTACTCAGTCACCTTGTAAATGCAGAGCATTATTGTACAGAAGAAGCTTTTTCACAGACTCCATGACTTTGACAATTACTTATTGTAATTTTTCCATCTCTCCTGTCCTTTTTGACAGATCCTGCAAGATTATGTTATCCATTATGTGACCTTCTTACTTGACATTCCTTTGTCATTGTTCTGAATGCAGGCACAAAGAGCTGAGGAAGGCTGGGATGCAGAGGAGGGGAGAGGCCAGGATTGTCACCCAGAGCTGCCAGAGCAGGTGTGCCTGGCCAGGTCTGGGCTCCCACACTGCAGCCAAGGTAATTGCATTGCATATCCATTTAAATGCTAAAGAATAACACACGTGTTCGCAGCCTCCTCATGGCTTAAACTGTCTTTTATCCATAGGAGCAAGGTGACATATAACCCATTTTTATACTCAAGCTGGAAGTTGTGGTTGAAAATCCCCACTCTCAATACCCCCAGCTCCCATTCCAGACTTTACTGGGTTTCTACTAGTGAGCAGTATGCTTTACAATTTTACTGTTTTCATGTATTTAAATATAATGTCTCTCTAGCTACTAATTTTATTTTCCTGTTTAATTTATTCTCCAGATTCTCTGGCCTTCAGTCAATGCACTGAGTGATTAAATTATTATCCCAGTAATGAGATTTGACACAATCTATGCCAGTTACCTGTGTGACCTGCTAAGTAGGTTAATTGGCAACCCTGAATAATTATCCCCCACCTCATCTTGCTGACTGAGAGTCTGACAAATAAATGAAACATAAAAATGCTGAAAATGACACACCATTTTTAATTTCAACTGCTGAATTGTTTCAAAGAAACCTTTTACTTAGTAGCTTATTAATAAAATTGAAAAAATACCTTGTGAACATACTGGTTTTATTATTATGTAGATGTTTGCTCCTGTGTATAAGCAAAGCTTCCTAGAGGAAAATGAACTCTGAGACATGTTAGATGAGCAGGTCTCTCTATTCTACAAATTACTAATATAAGTCAGTTGTTGCATCCTCAGAGGCTACTCAAAAGTGAGGAAAATTCAAGAAGTCAAAGTGAAATTTGTGGTGACATTACAATAATTATGTTTTAATGCTTTTCTGTGAAATCTTGAGAATTATAAATTAATTTTATTGTTTAATGAAAGCTATGATCTTTCTATTTCCATTTCCCAGGAAAGAGAGTTAAGAAAAATAAATATGGTACCTGGTGATGCTGACTTGTGTATCTAATCTTTTCTGCTTTGTTCATTTCTGAAAAGCCAGGATGCTATTTCTTTCTGCCCTAGAAAATGTAACATTGGAGCTTAGAGAGGAAAAAGAATGAACTCCTACAGATGAGAAGATGGGTTAAAAATTTAAACTTGTGGTCTTTTCATGATATAATCAGCTCAAATTAATGGTTCAGAGCCAGGGATTTAGTAAGACTGCTTCCAAAAAGAATTCCTCTGCCCTGGCCAGAAATCTCACCAAAACTTAGGGTAGAGAGAACAATCAAAGAATGAATTTCTTGTTATCAGCAGTTAATGACTGCAGCATAAAGTATCTTCAGAGAGGCACTGTGGAGAGGGGAGCTGCTCTGCCCTGTCCTGGGGCACTCCTGTGGCACAGGTGGTGGTCCTGCAAGCACAGGCACCACTGATGGAACCACACAAATAAGTGTGGTTGGTAAAGGCATGGTAATTTTGGGCCATTTACATCAGCTTATCCTGTGCCACATCTCAAAATTTCAGCATGGTTTTCCATTAAATAAAAGCTTGCAAAATCCTGATGTCCCATCCCCTGTGGCTGCAATTGACATTCCTCTTTTTCTGCCTCTCTGTTTGCAAAAATAGGTTTCCATTTCTAAGCTCGTTCCATTACAGAAAGCAGTGTGCAGTTTGCTGTGTCCAGAATGGATTCTTCAGGTGGATAACCCATCCAAAGCCATTCCATCTTTCAGTTTGTTGTCTTACAGGCTTTCAAGGGGGGTGACACAATTCAAGAGAGGATGCTGATGAAATCACACTCAAACCTGAGTCTGAAAAGTCAGCAGAGCGCAGCTTTTGGGAGTGAGTCATGTTAAAACCAAGCATATGCTCAAGTGTTTTGCTGGATCATGGCCATATTGAACTATAATGACCTAAATGGATTTACTCCCCAGACAAATTTACCCTTTGCTTTCCTCCTGCCCACACATACATTTGCACCTCAATCAATCACTTATGTCTCCTTCTATTTCCTGCATCCTACTTTTATGAAAAACTTTATGACTTGTTTCATCTCTTCTAAGCATGGCTTTATTTCCTCTATCGGTTTCCTTGATATTTCATCATCAAGGCTTTTTTGCCCCTACCTAAAGGTTTTCAATTTTAGTGTAGAAATTTAATAGAAACAAATTTGTTAAGGCTTGTTAAAGGAGCTGTACTGTCTCTTTGTGGTCTTTCATCTAAACCCCTTCCTCCCCATATAAAGACAAAGGTGTTGAAGATGCACATCAGGTAAACTATTGCCTACAAATGGAAAAAATAACATCTTGAAGCTCTCTTTCTGTGGGTGTTTTTTTTTTTTTTTCTGACATGTGGTCTTTATATCTAGAATTATAGACATTTAGATGTCAGGTAGCTAGAGAGAAAAAAAATAAAATAGAAGAGATATTGTAGCAAAATATCAAAGAACTGATGCATTGGTGGTAGTTACAAAGTGTTTTATTTCTCAAGAAGTGCCCAACTTTATAAAGTTTTTATCATACCTGATAGAAAATTAAGGGCTGCTGATATTTTGCAATTCATTACCCATTGCTTGTTGATTACATAATTGTTTTTGAATGAAGGAGCACTGTGGGGTCCTGTGAGAAGCTAAGCTGACATGACTTCTGTCTTTCCTTTTTATTAAGATAGTCAATAGCGTAGTTGTAAGGAACAGAATTGCTCTTTGTGACTGTATTAGACATTCTTCTGGGAGAGCTAGCTAAAATTTGAGAGCAGAAAAGCATTTCTGGAAAAAAAAAAAAAAACAAACCAGCATGCCAGACAAATCAATAAGTGGATGGAGCCGAGTCTGAGACTTTGGGGTTGGGTTAGAACCTAAATCAAGACACTATTGACTCTGCAAAGCCTGTATCTTCAGGGGTGCCTATATCAAAATCAATATTGCTTTCCTGCTTTATTTGATAACTTCTATGCCTTTGTGCAAGCAAATCCATTTTACAGTTGTATTTCTTTTCTTGAGCAAAAGTCTTCTCTTTGGTATGTGTGACCTGTGTACTATGGCTCTGTGTAAATTAACAAAAGGTGGATTGTGTGTGATATCTGTCACCAGTGTTCTCCAATGATGACATTTGCAAAGGAAATGAAATATCTGTAAATTCTTTGCTGCATAATTTATACACAACTCCTATATGTGAGTTCTCTACAAGCTGTTCACTGTTACCTCAGGAATAAATATTTTATTTTATGGAAAAAGGATATAGGCATACATTGATCATCAGAATCTGAGAGCATAAACAGTGGGCTTTAATGATTTAATGCTTTGCATTTATGAAGTTTCCCATCCAAGATTTTAATATTGTATCCAATGTATCCAATATCACATAATTTAAATGCATCCCAGATTTGTGAAAGGTAGATTTTGAAATCCTGTTTTTCAGATAAAGCTGCAAGGACAATTGAAATTTTACCTGTCTGTGCTTTAAGTTAGACAAGTATCTTGTGCTTGTGCACTTGGCTGAAGTGTTTGGACTGGTCCTGACTGTTTGGTAAGCTCAGCCAGACTTAATATTTTAAGAAAAGTTATATTGTTCATGAATGATTTGTGATCTTGAATGATTGCTCTGGACTGTCGTTCAGAACCAGTTTGTGGTGGCCATCTCAAAGTGAACCCAGTGAAAGCCTCCTTGTGCACCTGCCTACATAGACTTGCCCTAAATAAATCTGAAAATTAGACCTATGTATCTTTGAACATTTAGAGTGGAGTTGGTGCAGTATTAGGTTGCTATAAAGCCACTGAAAATTCTGAACCTGGTCTCTGAAGTTAAACCATCAATCACACCGTACCCAGACCCCTGCATTCTGCAGGTTTTGGAATTAAAAAGCATTGCTAAAATTTTACTTAACTGGTTTTTGAGGCAAAACCTCTGCATTCCCAGTGAGCTCCTTGTGGTAGAAAAATGCATCTATCACAGGTAACATTTCTTCTCATTTTTGCTTGTGCTACCAGCCTTGCCTTATCTGTCTCATAAGTACTCTGTGTGTGGTATTTATGAAATATTATCCAGGTATAGTACTTAATCTCTTTACAAGAGAGAAAAAACCACAATGCACTTACTCAGCAATTCCATCTGAATTGTGCTTCCGTGATTCGATTTTCTGCCTCTTGATACCACCAAATTATTACTTCAGCAAAACTGTCTGCAGTGCCAACACACGCACAGATGAAGTCATAATAGCAGTTCATTTTACACATGCATATGCACAATCCTCCAAATGGTGTTCCTAAGAATAGAGGTTTGAAAAGCTCCTTGATAACATGAGTGTGAAAAGGGTTTTTGTACAATCAATACTCACATTCTGCTTGCTGCTTGGTATTGATTGCATCTGCTTCTGCAGGGTATAATGTATGTTTAACTGTATAAAATAAGTATATTAATTACTGGACCTGTGCTTCCAATAAAATGAAAATTCTGAATTAATAGCTGTACTTTCCTTTTCTTTTTTTTGATACTTTTAATATCTCAGAGTTAACATCAAAATTCTTCCTGAGTTAGAAGAAATAAATTCAGTCTTCTGGGTAAAACAATTTCTATAGGACTGGTGAAATTCAAGCTTTAAAATTTTGTTCACTGTAAAATATGGTTCACTGCAGAATGATAAAATGCTTAAGAAAAGATAGGTAAAATATAAGAGTATATGAGGGACTGGAAATTGCCTAAAAATATGTGTTTGTAATTGTGGTTTAGGTAAGTTGTAAAGGTAGGAAAAATTAAGTGGTTTATAGCTATATAACAATGATATTTGATAATGAAGTATTCATTGCAGGTAGAGACGAGAAGTGTAATGAGCACACCTTTTCCTGATGGATTCCTTTATAAACCTTTTGGGGAAGATGTCACATCATGGTGTGTTTCCATAGGGTACTGAAAGTGCAGAAATTCTCTTCACAAAGGAAAACCTGCATGGGCAGCCACCCTGCTTTCCTACAGCTTCCCCCTGGGACAGAATTTGCTCAAGGAAAGTTTCAGTAAGAAGGCAGAGTTGATTCCAGTCCCACATAACAAGGGGATGGGTAAAAAAATCACTTCAGGTTCCTCTGCCCCACACTGGATTCCAGTTATTGCCACATCTGTGCCACCTCTGCATTTTGTGGGGCCGCTTCTGTGAGGCAGATCAATGGATTGATCCCTGTTAAGAGTAAGCAGGCAAAAAGATCAATTAGCACACTGAAAGTCATTTCATAAAATAAATCAATTTGCACCAATAAAGGAGCAATTAAAAACTAGTGGGCAATCTCACCCTTTGGGCTTGAAAAAAATAGATCTGTGCTGATGTGAAACAGCATGATTTTAATAAATATCTGTCAGTTGTTCTTTTGTTTGCAGTTTAGGAATCCCTTTGGTTCCTGAGAATACAAAAGAAACCCAAAAGCAAGCAAGATACCTTTATTGTGCCTTTCATATAAGAAAACAATCAGGACTCAACAGGGCACTGTCCAGCTTTATTTAAAAACCGCTAAGAGTAAAAAATAGCTGTAACTCTAATGAACACCTTTTAACTACAATCAATTCCATCTTCTGAGGTCTTCATGACAGATAAAGAGCAAATTACTGGTACACATTAACAACTTGAGAAGTAAATAGTCCCATTAAAATATTTTGCCAGTGTTCATAAACCATTGCTTCCCAGAACTCCATCCCTGTCAAATAAATAACTTTTTGTTCCCTATTAAATACAGAGAGCACAGGTTACTATGGTGATCAACAGAACACAAAATAAACTCTGCTTCTTCATAGCAGCCACATTCTAGAGGAAAAAAAATCTGAACATCAGCTTGCAGTTTCAAGCTGAATCTCTGAAAAATATTTTGAGAAAACAAAATTATTTTTATGATGTCCAAGTAACACTGGGTGATGTACCACAAAAATGGAAGTGTTGCATCAGAGTTCCCCTTCAAATAAGAGTGTTTCTAGTCTGAAACATTTCAAAATTCAGGATCACAAGGCTTACGATTTTTGTCTTTTTATTCTAATCAATGAAACATATAGAACTGTGCTGGAATGCTATGGGCCACACTGCTGTGCACATACACCTCCATCTGGGTCAGGGACACCCTGGCTTTTGCCTGTTGTGTTCTTTGTGTGCCAGTTGTTTACAATCCCATTTACTCTGTGTTTTATGTTCAAAGGCTGAATCCTTGACATTGGGGACCCACTGAGCAGGGACTGCTTTGATGCCAATTTTGGAGGCTTCACTCTTTTGATAAGTATGACTCCCAATTTTAATTGCACTTGTATTAGTTGTTGACTCTTCACTACCAAGGCTTAAGAAAGCAATGAAGTAGCATTTGCATCTGCTTTCTTAGTAATCTCTCTTTCATATTTGTTATCAAGAATATTTTTTCAAATATC